ATTCATATTAATCAAATTTAATCATTTGTGGACGTCCACATGAAAAGGGCCCATATTGTCGGTTCTAGTTTTCGAGATAATCGCAATTTAGTAATTTTGGAGAAAAATCTTAATTTTTTTTTTACTTTTTATTATCAATCTACATGTTTTGACAAGTCGAATCATGCGGTTTTCATTAATTTATCGATAATTTAACTGTTTGATTTCATTGGTTCTTTAGAAAAATGAAAAGGGCCCATTTTGTCGGTCATTTGAAAAAGTAATCCGTATTTTAAAAATTGAGGTGTGGAAAAATTTAAAACCTCTTGATTTTTCATCTTTACGGTGTTCTGGACTGTAAAAAATTCTTATTTCAATAACTTCCTAGAAGAACGAGAAATATTGATGTTAGAGTCTTTTTTCGTAATTATCGAAATGAAAATTTGGATATTTCGTCATTTTTTTCATAATAGAGACTGTCATAAATTTTTAAATAAGTTTAATATCTATTCTTTTTCTTCAAATGACACAATAAAATTGTACCTAATCATTAATCTTGTAAAAAAATGGTTTTTTAATAGAAAAACTGTCCTTTTTAGAAAAGGGCCCATATTGTCGGTTTTTCGTACTTAAAAAACGAAATTTTTCTAAATTAAGAGGGGGGATGGTTTTAAAAATTTTAAACTTATTGGTTTTTGATCTTTTAGGTACCCTGGACTGTAAACAATTCTTATCTGAATAACTTCCCAGAAGAACCAGAGATATTGATGTTAGAATTTTGTTTTTCGTAATTGTCAAAATGAAAATTTGGATATTGCGTCAATTTTTTTATAATAGAGACTGGCAAAAAATTTTAAATAAGTTTAATTTCGATTATTTTTTTTCAAATGACACAATAAAATTCCACCCAATCATTAATCTTGTAAAAAAATTGTTTTTTAATAGAAAAACTGTCCTTTTTAGAAAAGGGCCCATATTGTCGGTTTTTAAATTAATTAATTAATTAAGGGGAGGGGGTGGTTTAAAAAATTTAAAACCTGTTGGTTTTTTATCTCCAAGGTGCCCTGAACTGGAAACAATTCTTATCTGAATAACTTCTAAGAAGAACCAGAGATACAACAATTAGTTGGTATCGCAATCTTTAATTCCGTTTTTCTCGAAATGAGGTTTTTGGCGTTCTAAACTTTGAAATTCCGTAACTCAGCGAATTTTTAACCAAAAGAGTTCTAAGACCACTCAAAATTTTCCAAATTTTGCCAGGAATACGCCCATATAGATAACTCCAATAGTGCCAAAATGGGCCCTTTTCATGTGGACGTCCACATTTATTTACATTTCATTAGTTTATTTCTTTTTTTAAAATTGTTTAATTATTTAATAAAATTTATATTTTCCAACGCGGAAAGAAGAAATTACTCAATCATACTCAGCCTGAGTGATAGTTGCTAAACAATATATGGTGATATTATCGTTTAACAAAACAAAATAAGTTCGCTTTACTGAATGGTCGTTTAGTTACCTAGACTAACAACGTGGTGATAAGTATCGTCTACGATATGAACTATCATATTTACGATTCTGTTTACAATTTGTCAAAATAAAAATTGACCTCTTTTATAATTTTATTTTATCATATTTTTGTCAAATGTGACATTAATTTTTTTCCAAGAATTTATTAAATGGCTATCAAGATAAAAATCAAAAAAACACTGGCGGTGATATAATGTTAAAATACATGTTTATTTAATTTATATAACACGAGGAAAAAATTATTACACATGTAAAAACTTTTTCTCGTGTATTACACATGGCCAAATCTCCACGTGATTATTTTTATTAGGGAATATTTCTCTCTAAGCGAACTCCGATACTTGCAGTCATCCTAACGATTGTAATGATGATATGGGTATTAAATCAATGTGTTTTCCTGGTTTTTGACAAAATGAATACTTTTAATCCAACGGTTGCCGTCATTCTAACAATACTAAGAGTGGTCTAGGTATTAAATTCACATTTTTTTTAAAAAATTTCAAAAATAAACCATTCTTTACAATTTTTGGTTTTTAAATTAATACGAATAATTTCGATAATTTCTAATCGAAATATGTTCAAAAATAGGTTAAGGGCAAAAAACGTTTTTTTTCAAAATTAGAAATAAAAAAAAATATAGTTAGGGGAATGTAGTCAAGGTTGGTCTACTGTCTAGGTAGGCCACTCGCGTTTTTTTGTCAAGTTGACTAGCGCCACCTACGCGCATATTTGTCGAAGCTTGTCTTAGTGAAACCTAACTTTTTGTTCAATTACATTTTCGGAAAATCAAAAATTGTGTTTTCTGTGACGTCGGTACAAAAAAAGCTCAAAAAAAGTTTTGTGCATAATGTGAAAAACCATTAATAAAAGATAAAAAACAAATTGAATCGTCAAGGCAAGTATGCAGAAAATTTGTGGGACTCATGGTTGAAAGGAAAACAAAGTAAAAAATCGAATCCCGAAACGTATTTCTTTATGGTTACAACAATTCGGTAATGTTACTTACTGTCAAGGTCGGCCACTTTGTGTTTAAAATGCGCAAAGATGAGGACGAGCTACTTCATTTGCAAAAACTGCAATTCTGTATAACTCATAATATAATTGATCATCTTATTAATATTTTTATTTAATTTTATTAATATTTTAGTGCAAAATTTTTTTTTATTTATATTTATTTTTTTATATTGTTTATTTTTATTATTTTGTTATTTCATTAAGTTACAAACTGTAAACAATAAAGAATCAATTTTCCGTAACTCCAAACATGTTATTTTATTTTTTAACGATTAATGCCCTTTGAATTTTAAACATGGCCGACCTTGACTGTAATGGCCAACCTGGACTACAAATTTTTTTTTTTTAAATCTTCATAACTTTTTCATTTTTAAACCTGTCAATTTACTTTGTACAGAAAAAATGTTCCTATTAAACAGGACTTTCCAACCATATACTTCAATTGTCCAAATTCATTTTTAAAAAAAAGTTATAAACAAAAGTCAAAAAGGTGGCCGACCTAGACTATGTTCCCCTACTATAATGAATGACAATTTTTAAAAATGGCATTTTTGAATTTCTGATGTCAAATAAATATAATTATTAAATAATATATAATAATAAATATACATTATTTAAATAAACAAACTTAAATTCTTTATATTCTTTTGAAAAAATGAAATTATGTACCTTAATTTTCTTGGGTATATTATACTTACCCTATCTTAAATTCTCGTGAATTGAATGAAGAACAATAGTTATGTACAACGTTTTTAAAGAAAAATTTTTTTAGGAATTCAATTATATTTATGAGTATAAAACCCATCTCAAAATTTCAATTATTTTTAATACAATATTCTAATCGAATTTCTTAAAAAGCTGCCAATTCGGTATTTTCAAGAATTAGTGTGGAAGCAACCAATTATTCGGATGACATTCATTTTTTTTTACTCAAACGAAAACAAATTTATCAGTAATCTGAGAAACCTGATTTTCTCACATGATTAAATTTCTATTATTTCAGCCAGTATGTATTGCGATCCATTTCTTTTGGTAATTTCCTTTAGAATTTAAGATTTTTTATTTTATAAGGATATTTTTGTCCCTTCAAACTTAAATAAATAAATAAATTCTGTGAAATTATTTTTTTTAATAGTTTAATTGAATTTTTTGGTATTTTAACTTTTTATTTATATTTAATTGAAGAATTTCTGAATAATCGAAATTTCGTAAAATTGAATTGTGAAGAAATGGGTTTGAAAATTCTCAAAGTATTTTTTAAAAAATTATTAAAAATATAAGGTGTTATTATTATTAAAATTTCATTTTTTCATAGCTTTAAAAATTTGTTTTTCATTAAAATTTTTTATTTTCAAATATAAATTTTTGAATAATTTCATAATAAAAATTTGTTAAATTCAGTTTAAATATAATTCTTGGCAAAAAATCAATTATTTTTATAAATAAATTCTACGGAAGAATTCAATTATTTTTATAAAAATAGTAAATAGTTTTTTGACAAAATTCAATATTTTTAAAACTTTTAATAAAATTCCACGAAAGAATTCAATTATTTAAAAAAAATTTTAAACCCCTTCGAAATGATTCAATTTTTTTTCAATATGTAGTAAAATCTTTTCAAAAATTTAATTATTTTCAATATAGTTTCACGAAAGAATTCAATTTTTTTTCTTAATTCGTTATAAAATTTTTCAAAAGAATTAAATTATTTTATAAAATTTTTAAAAATCCTTCGAAACAATTAAATTTTTTTTAATTTTTAATAAAATTTTTCGAAAAAATTCAATTAATTTCTATATTTTAATAAAATTTCTTTAATAAATTGAATTATTTTAGAAAATTGTAATAAAATTCTGAGAAGAATTTAATTATTTTCTAAAAATTTTAATAAAATTCAATAATTTACCTTATTGTTTAATTTCAATTAAGAAACACGATTATTTTTAAAACTTGTAAGAAATTCTTCAAAAGAATTTAATTAGAATTTTCAAAAATTTTACTAAAATTCATGTCATGAATTCAATTATTTTCATAATTAATAAAATTCTTCGGAGAAATTCAATTATTCTTAAATTTTTTGATAAAATTCCTTGCAATAATTAAATGATTTTCAATAAATTATTAATTTATTTATTTTATTTAAGTAATTTATAAGTTAGTAAAGAAAAAAGCAAACAACAAAAAACTTCAAACTGAAGATTATCGGAATACAACGATTATTATTATAGATAATAATTGATTCAAAGAAGAATTTTAGTTAAAATTCTAAAAAATAATATAATTAAATTGAAATGATGAAATTTTTTTTTAAAGAAGGTACAGTAATAAGATTCTTATGATACAAAGTAATGATTTTATCACTTGATATCTTTAATTATTAGTAAATAGGAAGAAATCAATCACTCTGAGTCATCGATCCAGAGGCAGAGTCATTGACTACTTCATGTTTTATAATAATATTCAGTTTATGTTCAACTATGTCTATGATCGGTACAACATTATTATTAGTAGGAGCTGTTGTCCTCCTCTTTAGATTTTACGCGAAATACAAATTAAATTATTGGAAACGACGTGGAGTCCAGTCACTGCCAACGGATTTAATATTCGGTAATTTTAAGGATGCTGTACTCTTTAGAACAGCCCCAGGATGGCATCTTGGTAAATTGCACAAGGATGCCGCAGCTGATGCGAAATTATTGGGATTCTATATTTTTCACAAACCCTGCGTTCTTCTAAGAGATCCAAAATTAATTCGTCAAATTATGGTCACCGATTTTGAGAATTTCTCCGATCGTCACTTTGGTGGATCCAAGCAGACCGACAGTATTGGAATGGTTAATTTATTTGGTCTAAAGAATCCAGTATGGAAATATGTGAGATCAAAAATCACTCCAACTTTAACGAAAGGAAAACTAAAATTAATGTTGCCTTTGATGACTGAAATTGGGGAAAATATGATAGAGTATATTGATAGTAAGCCGGTGGATAGCGAGGGAATTAAAAAACTCGACGCTCAAGATTTGAATTACAAATATACAACCGATTTGATTTCAATTGTTGCACTCGGAACGAAATTGAATTCATTCCTGGATCCTAATAATAAACTCACCAAAGTTGGTAAGTCTGACAAACGTTTCTTTCTATGTGACAAGAAATAATTGAGTAGCTAAAATTTTTTGAATTTTTAATCTGTAAACTTGGAGGAAACTTTGAGCAACTTGGAAAATTTGCAGTGCAAGTTTTGATATTAGTAGCAAAACGTCCTTATAATTCCCAGTAATAAGTAAGTTTGCTTTTTTTTTCATTTTTCAGTGGACCGATTTTTCCACAGTCTGAAAAGAATGATAGCATTGATTACTGTTTTCTTCATGCCGGAATTAGTTGAATTATTTGGTTCACTTATGCTCTTTGACTCGAGTTTCTTAAAAAAGGTTTTCTTTAAAGAAGTGGAACATAGGGAAAGATCAGGACTTAAAAATGGAGACTTTATTGACTCGCTAATTAAAATAAAGCATGAACAACAAAATCCAGATTTTAGTGAGTAACAGTCAGAAATTCATCAAAAACTGAAGTATAAAATTCATCATCAAATGTTGATTATAATTATTACAATAATTTATTTAAATTTCTCTAAACACTTGTTTAGGATTCGATGGTGATAATCTTTTTTATCAATCGGGAACATTTTTCTCTGGATTTGAGTCCAGCTCGACTGCTTCGTCATTTTCAATAATGGAATTGGCGAAACATCCCGAATTTCAGCAGAAAGCGAGGGAGGATATAAATGCAGCAATAGAGAAACATGGACTGACTTATAATGCATTCAACGACATGAAGTATCTCGACCAGTGCATTGCTGAAGGAATTCGACTTCATCCTCCAGTAGCCACAATCGACCGAAACACCAGACAAGATTATCAGGTACTAGTTACTTTTTGCATTTTCGTTTTGCACTACTTTTACTTAGAAAGAAACCAGAAAGATACGAAACTAATTCCTAATATCAAATTTAAACAGCATGAGAGTTGAAGAAATTATAAACTTTCATGCAATGTTTTCGCGTCAAACATTGTAAATCAGTCGAAATTTAAAGAATTACTTTAACTTTAAAGAGCCGCGTAACTAAAGATTCCGAACATTGCAGTCAAGGTAATTTCAACTTTTAGAAAAGTTTCGATGCTATGTGGGCAGTATTCAGGTTAAGTATTATTACTTTTACGATTTGAAAATGTATTTTTGTTTTTAGATTCCCGGCACCGATGTTGTTCTTGAGAAAGGAACTGCAGTCTACATTTCACTTTACGGACTGCATCAAGATCCACAATACTTTGAAGATCCATCGGCCTATAATCCTGAGCGATATAATGAGAGAGTAAATATTTCCGAGGCTTATATTCCGTTTGGTGTAGGACCCCGAATGTGTGTTGGTAAGTTTACACTATCATTTTTGCTAAATCGACTCTAATTAGAACCATTTCTATAAAGTAAAAGTCAATATTGAACCTCGATTGTCCGAACTGTGATTCATTGTTTTCGAACTTTTTCATCATCATAAACCCAATGTACATAATTTTTTACCGCTATGTTTGCAATTCCTATTACATCTGAACCCTTATGACAAAAATTACTTTATTTTTAAAAAAAATCGCTTTTCAAAAACATTTCTCCGGTATAACTAACTAAACTGCTATTTTAATTTATTTTTCAGGTATGAAAATTGGTCAGTTACACGCCAAAGTTAGCATAGCAATGATTTTAAGAAAGTATGAAATTAGACAATTGCCCATCGATAAGATAAGTCTGGACAATCGATCAACATTTACTGCTGCCGCCAATGGCATTAATCTACAATTTAAAGAAGTCGACTCGTCATAGTCACATAAATGAAATTCTAGTTCAATTGTATATGTATTTAGTTTATTGATAATAGTTATCAATTTATTCTAAGCTTCAAAATTATCTTTAACCCTTTAAGGCCCAATGGTTTCGATTAAAACCACTTTTGTGTTTGAACATTCATAACTTTGTCAAAAATTAATCAATTTTCGATTTCTAAACACCAAAGATCCATACAAATTTATATTATTTTGTAAAAAAAAATTATAATAGTGCAAAAAATTAACAACAATCAACCTTATAATTTTAACAATATAAAAAAAATGTTTTTACTAAGGGTTGTAAAAAAATTGTAAATTGATAAATTACTTCAAGCAAAGCTCATGAAAATTATTACTCGGGGGTTTTTGGGGCCATTGATTACGAATATGTTGTTAGTTTTTCAAAATGGCGGATCCAATATGGCGGACGGAAAAAATTTTAAAATTGAGATATATGCTCATGAAAATTAGTACTCGGGGGTTTTTGGGGTCACTGATTACAAATCTGATGTTTAGTTTTTCAAAATTCAATATGGCGGACGAATCACTTATTCGTTTCTGACGATATTTTAGCGTTAGGAATTAGTTTCTGAATTTTTAGGAACTGATATCAGATTCGCAATAAGCGACCTCAAAAAACACTAAATGCTCATTTTCATGAGCCTGGCTCAATTTTTCAATTTTTTCGTCCGCCATATTGGATCCGACATTTTTAATTTTGAAAATTTTGCAGAAACTGCGACATCGGATTCGTTATCAGTGACCCCAAAAACTCTTTAAGTACGGAGTATGGCGAAAATCATCGGACCTTAAAGTGTTAAAAACCAACTCCCACATAAATTTTTCTTGTAAATTAAAATAATATGCTCTAATTGGATTTTTTTTTAGAAATTGACAATATCGTTAAAAATTATGATTAAAAAATAGAAATTATAAGGTGAATGTCCCAATTTGTGAACATTGCACATATAGGTATGTGCAAATTTAAATATAAAGTTGCGAGTAATTAATTCTTATAGTGTAAAGTATTTTTTGATAAAAAAAAACGGTAATTTATGACTATAAATAATGTTTTAATAATTCAATTAAAAAAATTAATACTTATAGCCTTTTTTCATTTGCAAGCAATCAAGAGAAACATTTCGCTCACTTGTATCGCATTTGTCATTTGCGACAAGTTAACATTTTAGAAATTAGACAGAGCAAAAAACTAAATTTTTATAAATTAAATTTATGCTCTTTTCAATTTGAGTTTCATTTTTACGCATTAGGCAAGTGCAAAGTATGTGCACTGAAGGACAAAAAATTCGATATTTCGGTTCCACATAATTTTTTATGAACAATTAAATTTCAACATTAATTTTACTGTAACAACTTATATCTAAAAACGTACGTGCGTACAAAATAAAAATTGTAACGACGAGTATTTTACAATCAACTTAATTCTTTACAGATGAAAATATTTTTTCTTCATTTCAAAGAAGAAAACTCTCCAAGACTACGCGACGCAGACTGAAAAAATACAAATTTTGAAATTTAGAAAATGTATATAATAATGTAAAACACGTCTTCACAAAAATATTAGATCCCGTTAATTAACATAAATGTTAATAAACATAAAAAATAATGATGTGCAAATTCTATTATAACTTTCAGTTTAAATTTTTCAAAATTGATCCCTTGCATTTTTGTATAGTAAACTTACAGTTCATAGCAAATTAATATGAAAATAATAATTTAATTTAGGTAATGCATACAAAATAAAACATACGTTACTAAGAACAGTACTGCTGCTTGAATTTTGCTTTCGATTTTTGATTTTCAAACTAATTTTCTCTCCTTGCGATCCTCTTATTTCCCCCAATGAATAAGACGAAGAACTAGGCCAATTAATTTCTCCCTCTGAATATGTTTCAGAAGATAAATCATCCTGAAATTTTAAATAACAAACACTACTTATTAAAATTTAATTCTAATTTATTTTGACTTTTACCTTAATTCATTTAGTTCCAAATATCCATTTTGTTTTCCTTTTCACAAATTATTATTAATGTGCAAAGCCCGATCAAAATTTTAATTTTATTTGCCATCTTGAATACGCCATTTTGAATTTTTATAATCTGACATTAGATTCATGATTAGCCATAACGGATATATTTTGGATTAAATGAATTAAAAGTTGTTATATGAATAGTAAACAAACACGCATAAAAATTACTATAAATATAAAGAATTAGAAAATAAGTAAAATTAAAAAAATACAATCAACTTGATACAAAAATAAAAATATTTTTTATGAAATTTGGACATTCTCAATTTTAAGTAAAAATTGTTCTATTATAATATAAGAATATATTATTAATTTATCCAATTTTCTAATCATTTTATATCATTAAATTGAGAAATTTTAATTAGAGAAATGCATTTCAATCCAACACTAAAAGAAATGGGTCATCAATTTTCGGGGCGCATGATTATTCCCCAAATGTCATTTTACCGAACTGCACTTTTGCGAAAAGCCAATTTTGCGAATTGTCATTTTTGCGAATCGCCATTTTTACGAATTGTCAATTTTCCGAAAAGTAATTTTTGCGAATTGTCATTTTTACGAAAAGACATTTTTGTGAAATGTCATTTTTGCGAAAAGCCATTTTTGCGAAAAGTCATTTTTCCGAAATGTCATTTTACCGAACTGCACTTTTGCGAATACTCATTTTTGCGAAAAGCCAATTTTGCGAATTGTCATTTTTCGAAAAGCTATTTTTGCGAATTGTCATTTTTGCGAATCGCCATTTTTACGAATTGTCAATTTTCCGAAAAGTTATTTTTGCGAATCGCCATTTTTACGAATTGACATTTTTGCGAATTGTCATTTTTGAGAAATGTCATTTTTGCGAATTGTCACTTTTGCGAATCGACATTTTTACGAATTGCCATTTTTACGAATTGTCATTTTTGCGAATGGTCATTTTTGCGAATTGTTATTTTTGCGAATAGCCATTTTTACGAATTGTCAATCTTCCGAAATTCAGTTTTGCGAATCGCCATTTTTACGAATTGTCAAATTTCCGAATAGTCGTTTTTGCGAAAATTCCTATAGTGAATCTATATATGCATACAAGTTTACTATAGGAATTTTCGCAAAAATGACTTTTCGAAAAATTGACAATTCGTAAAAGTGGCGATTCGCAAAAATGACTTTTCGGAAAATTGACAATTCGTAAAAATGGCGATTTGCAAAAATGACAATTCGTAAAAATGGCGATTCGCAAAAGTGACAATTCGCTAAAATGACATTTCTCAAAATTGACAATTCGGAAAAATGGCAATTCGTAAAAATGACTATTCGCAAAAATGACAATTCGTAAAAATTGCGATTCGTAAAAATGGCGATTCGCAAAAGTGACAATTCGCAAAAATGACATTTCTCAAAAATGACAATTCGCAAAAATGCCTTTTCGAAAAATTGACAAATCGTAAAATTGGCGATTCGCAAAAATGACTTTTCGGAAAATTGACAATTCGGAAAAATGGCAATTCGTAAAAATGACTTTTCGCAAAAATGACTATTCGCAAAAGTGCAGTTCGGTAAAAAAAAATGACATTTGAGGAATAATCATGCGTCCCGATTTTAATTAATAGAATTTGCTATTAAAATTCTTCAAACTTTAGATTTTTTAAAAACTTTCATGAAATACATTAACCGACACCTGTATATAGTTAAAATAATTACTTTTTAGTTAAAAATAAAAAATTAATAAATTTATAAAAAAAAATTTTATTATTTTTATGAAGTTTTGAGATTTTTAATTTTAAGTACCTAATAATTATTTTTTCTAACTAATATTAGAATATATTATTAATTTATCCAATTTTGTATTTTTATCAGTAATTTGAGAATTTTTGTCTTTCATCAAATTGACGTCGCCAATTTGATGTTAATGTGACAAAAATTGAAATTTAATTAAAATATGCATAAAAATCTAATATACAAGTAAATTTATGTAATAAAATATAATAGTATAAATTATAACAATTAATTAACGCTTACGAAAGATCGTCAAATTTTTCAAAAATTTTGATTTTTGATTACAATAGTAAAAATTAGCGTCAAATTGATTGACGATTTCTCTTTGAGATATGTTTGTGTATAGTAGTTTCTATTTAATTATGGGTAAAATTAAAATCAGTTTTTATTCATTATTCTAGATACATTTACAACTAATTTTTTTGTAAAAAATGTAATGGTCATAAAATAAAATCGGTCAGAAAATATTTTTCTTTTACCATTTATATGTCTTCCAAAAATCGAAAGAATTAATTTGCCAAATAAAAAAATTTACTTTCATAACTTTTGAAGAATTTAAAAAAAAATCTTTGTTTTTAGGTTGAAGATGCTAAAAAAATACTGTTATTCAATTTTTGTATATATGGAAATTAAATAATAAAATTTATTTTAGTATTTTGAGCCTACAAGGTTTTTTTTCAAGAAAAATGCTTAAAAACTGATGAAAATCAAATTTTTTTGTACTTTTAAAAAAAAATTAAGAAAGGATAAAAATATTTTCTTATCGATTTTATTTTATGACTATTGAATTCACCACAGAAAATTATATCTTAAAAATAATTTTGTAGAATATTAGAATTTAATTAAAAATAAGGACCTTCCCTTAAATTACACGTAATTTTATACATTTTTTTTATTTTTTTTATTTTATTTTTTTTTATTTTTATAATAACTATTTTTCTTCTAAAATGTCATGGAAGGCGACACTTTGCTAAAAACTGATTTTTTACATCTCGTTTCATAAAAAAAAGATGTTAGATGTCGATAGGAGGTTGAAGTACCAAATTTAGATATTTTATTTTTACTAAGAGGAAATAATAAATTATGAATAATAAATAAATAAATACAAACAGTAAAAAACAAATAAGTAATTTAAATAATTTCATAGTTACTTACAATTTTTCTACTCCTTTCAGAAATCTTTAATGGCTTTCTGAAATCAAAAAAAAAATTGTAAATTATTCTCTAAGAAAATTCGAACGATGATAATAATAATATTATAATAAACATTGTTATCTCACTTTAATTTATTTCCTTCCTGAGATTTTCCACCTTCCTCTTTGTTATCCAAATTCGATTTCTTAATTATAAAAGTTTCAGCTCGTGTTAAAGATTTCCTCTTCAAGCTACTTTGCGAATCACTTTTTTTCGATTCCATTTTTAACGATTCTTCAATACTCTGTGAAATTTGCTTCTCCATGTCCAATAAACTATTCAATTTCCGTTGAATTCCGAATTCAACACTTGTCTCCTTCTTGCCCGAATTTTCTCCTTTAGACATAAATGAATTGGATAATTTCAACGAAACATGACTTTCGAGACTCTTGTATTGCTTCGAAGTAGTTGAAATTTCGGTAAAATTTTGAGAATAGTTGTCCTGAGATGTTTCTTGCTCGTAACTATTTGGCGTGGGACTTTTCATTTGGTTCAATTTCTCTGTTTCTAGAAACTCTGCTTTTAAAACTATTTCCTTACTTTGATTCTCTGCTTCTTTGCTTCTTTGTTTCTGTTCTTCTTTAATGTTGTCTTTATCATCTTTATCGACAAATAAAGTATTTAAATTTTGTGGAAAAAAACTTGTATCCTGTTTGTCGAGAATCTTTATTTCTTCTAGTTGTATTTCTTCGTCGTCTTTTTCTAACTTGGAGATTCCATCAACAATTACTTCATCTTTTGCCGAAAGTTCGAAGTGGAAAGTTTCATTTTTATTTGCCTTGGAGAAAATTTTTGAGGTTTTTTCCCTCTCTGGAGATTCTTGAAGACTTTGCCGAAATTTATCGTTTGGATCAGAAACATTCAGTTTATCTAGTTTCTCCAGAATTTCGTACTCTTTTTCATCATCAGTTTTTTTATCATCAATTTTTTCATCATCAGTTTTTTTATCATCAGTTTTTTCATCATCAGTTTTTTCATCATCAGTTTTTTCATCATCATCATCAGTTTTTTCCGAACTCTTCGGTGGGAAAAACCTTTCCGCTTTGTCGGAAAATATTTCCACACTCAAATCTTTAAGATCATTCAGGGTTTCGTCTTTTGAGGCATCTTTTGATGACTTTGTGACTGTCGATGGTAGTAGATTTTGGAAAATCATATTCTTCGTCGAGGACATCAGACTGAGGCTTATTTGCGATAAATTTATACTTTGACTATTAGTGACTGTTTCGGATTTGGGAGAAATGTTAAAAGTCTTACTCACTTCGAGCTGTTTTCTATTCTCAGGAATTAATTCATTCTCCTTTTCGGAGAAATAGATTTCGGGAAAATTTTCAACGAGCGTGGACTTGATTGATTCTAACTGTTGAATGGGGGACTTGAAAATTTCCAAAGAAAGTTCCTGATTAATTTTTTTACTGCCGTCTTCCTTATTCCCATTCCTGACGAATTTATCACTGGCTTCATTGATGTAGTCAACATCTCGAATTTCGATTTTTGGTGACATACTCTTTAGAAACAAATCCGTTGTTTGAATAACATTCTCAATCGTCTCATTATTCCTTTTTATGATCGTATTCAAATCAAGAAGGGAGAGTTTTTCCAAACTAATACGATCAATTGTGGTATTTTCTTGCGATAATTTCTCCCCAACAATCGACAACTTTGGAATTAGACTCTTTGGTTGTTGTCTTTTGAAAATATCTCTATATTGAAAATTAACTTTCTCGTTGGCAATAATCGTTGGCTTATTTTTGTTTCCAGCTGAATTCTCCATTTGAGAAATGTCATCCTTATAAAATTCCTTCTCTTTCGGATTCTTTGGGGAATTTTCAAGATTACTTGAATATGGAAGATTTGTATTGCACTCTTTTGATATTTTTGGATGTAGAGCAGATTCATTGGAAGTGTGTGATTCGGTGATTATAGCATTATTAGTTTCTTTCAAATTATTCCCTTTGGTAGTTACATTGGAGGTCCCTCTTCTCGTGTCTTCGGGAATTTTTAGTACAACTGTCTTTTTAAAAATTTGTTTCTTCTCTGAATTTTCACCATCACTTTGATAAGTTTGTTTAGTACATTTTTCTCCAATTTGCTCTGAATGATGTTGAAAATTGTAGAGTCCAACATTTCTTGTTTCTTGACATGATGATTCTGGTGAGACGTGAAAGTGATCGAGATTTTGAACTTGTAGACTTCTTTTTATAATTACGTTTGGACCGGTTTGTATTTGAAAATTTGGAGATTCTGCCTCAATTTCTTTAGCGTCAGTTTGAATGGCTTTATTTTCATCAGATACGATGTCAGCTTTATTACAAGAATGAGAAAATTGAGAATAATGTGTCATTCTGTTCATTAAATAATGTGATTTGTTTTTACAGCATTCGGTGGCTTTTAGGTTTGAATGACATTTTTCCGGTAGCATAGTCATGAGTCTTAATAATCTTGGTGCTTTAATTGTATTATTTTCTTGCACTTGAGAAAATGTGGAAAAATTTGAATGATCTTTGAACATTTTTGATTGTTTGTTGTTTGCTTCGTGAAATTTAATGGCAACAATTTGTCGAAGTCGCAGTAGATCCTCATCGATTGTTGGTTGAGCATTGGATCTGAAATAGATAATAAATAATGAATTATTTAAAAATGTTTATAAAATTTTATAAACATTTCGGAAAAATTAAATTATTTTTAACATTTAAATTCTTTCATGAATAATAAAATTCGTTACGCAGTCATTCAATTTAACAGCAGGATAAGAGCAGGATAGCGTCACATATTAAAAATTAACATCAACTTACAGTTCAGGATTTTTCTTGTGAAATGAAATATTATCCTTAATCTCGGACAATTGTTTCTGAGCATTTTGTAGTAGCGTTTCAACGTTACTCAACAACTGTGTCGTTTGTGGACTGAGAGATAAATTTTTTTGCGAAGTTCCTTTCTCGGAGAATAGAATATCTTGATTATTGGTTTCTTTGAGTAATGTAGGTTTATTAATAAATGAATATTCAAAGGTAGGTATTGTTTCCATTGCTGCTTCTTCTCTTTCATTAGATTCTTCGTGAGCTTTTAATTCTTTTGGCAGTACAGAAGGTTTGTGATGATGTTTATCCTCGTCTTCAGTATCTTTAAATCTTTCGGAATCACACTGATGCCGAAATGTGCTAATTATTGCACTGCCGGAAGTCCGAATTTTATCCAATTCAAGGCATAATGCTTCAATTCCTCTGCAACAAACAATTTTTTAAATGCGTTTTAATAATTTCTCCTAATTAATAATTTCCCCCGGTTTCATTGTTTTAAATGGAATTTACAAATACTCAAAAATAAATATTTTTAATTCTCTTGTAATATGTGTAACAATATCCAAAAATAATTTATTCAATAAATAATAAATTTTTTACAATAAAGGTTTTAAAAAATTTTATCACTTTTTGACCCCCCCCTCCCTCATATTAAAAAAATAGGAATAAAGAACCTCTTAAAATTAATTTATTTATAAAAATATTTTTAAACAGTTTTTGAAAGATAATAGTTTTTTAATAATTTTAAGTAAATTCTTTGAAAAATGTAATTATTTTTAAAAATTTTATTAAAATTCTTCAAAAGAAATCAATTATTTTTAAAAATTCATGCTAATAATGCTATTATTACATTCATTGATATTCATTTTTAAATCAATTTTTATTGCAAAATTCGACGAGAATTCGATTATACAAAAATAAATAATTTACTAAATAAATGAATGTTTCTCTAAATTGAATTATAAAGAATTTTATAAACAAAATTAAATTTTCGAGGAATTTTAATAAAATGTTCAAGAATGATTAAATTTTTTGAGGAATTTGTTTAAAATTGTATTTAATTAATAATTGAAAATTATTATTTATTTATTATTTAAAAATAATTAAAACTAGCAAAAACTGACGCGCGCGAGCGCGCGTGCATTTTTTTTTCAACGTTTTATTTTAAATAATTAAAACTTTATTTTTTCAGCGAATTTGAACCATTATGATGTCACAATTTTTTAGCAAATGCTGTGAACAAATTGTGACGTCATTATGGTTCAAATGCCATTAAAGAAATTATTTCATCTTCTATTAATTAATATATTTTTGCATTTTCTTTTTTTATATAAATAAATTAAAATTTTTATTTACTGTTCGCAGTTTATATTTTTTTTTTTGTTTAATATTTTAATAATTTTATGTTTTAATATATATATAAATATATTTTTTCTATTAAAATAGCAATTCTTTAAAATGATTATTATTATTTTTAAGGGTATTTTAATTATTATTATGACGTTATAATGTTTTAAATAAATTTAAAAAATGGAAATGCTGGAAAGAATGAAAAATACATTTTTTTTAGAAATATAAAATTATTCAATTAACATCTTCTATCTTTATATCTTCTCTCTATATTAATATCTTCTTCTTCTTCTATCTTCTTTGATTTAGTTGTAATTTACTTTTTTGTTTCCTATCTTCTTTAATAATTTTATGTTTCAATATTTTTAATTTTAATTAAAATTAATATATTGAATTTCATTTAAATTCTTGCAAAAAATTTGAGAATCATTGAATTTCTTCAAAAAATGTCATTATTTATGAAAATAATTCAATTTTCGCTAAAAATCATTAAATCAATTTTGGAAACCCTAATTAAATTTTTCTGAAGAATTATTTTTTATTTTTTGTTTAATAATTGTGTTTCTTTAATAATTTTAATTGGATATTTTTAAAGTAATTTAAATTTATGAACAATTTTTTTCAAGTTTTTAAAACTAATTTTTAAATTTGTAAATTTAGTTGAAACATCTATTGTTTACATTTATCCCTTGTTTACAATTACCCCAAATGGCCCTAATTGTAAATTGATTGTTTTGTTGATTTTTGAATTTTATTTCGGAATAATTCAATTTTTTATTATGTATTTTTCATGATTTGAAGACTTTATATAGTCTTTAAAAGACTTGATAGTATTTAAATAGTTGAAATGAAAGGCGGTGCCTAAAGTATTTTTTTTAAGTTCATTATTTTTTTTTCTTTTTAGAAAATCTATTTTCTATAATATTGTGTTAAAAAAAACGTTAACATTTTATATTTTATTTGAACAGAAGATAACGATAAGTTTAATTCTTGCAAAAGAAAGCACTTTTAAGTTAATTCTACACACAAACACACACAGAAATACGTTTATTTTTTACGTAAGTGCCAATAAATTAATTTCAATTTTTTATTTAAAATGAAATAATTTAATTTTGAATTAATTGTATTTTTGATATTTGAATAATTAATTATTATTTTGAACAATTACATTTTTCAATGATTTCAAAATAATTAAATTTTTATTAAAAACAGAATAATTTATTTTTGAATTAATTAAAATTGTTTGATTTATTTTTGAATAATTAATAATTGACTTTTGAATTATTTAAAATTCAAATATTGTAAAAAATTAATAAAATATTTAAAAAAACAATTTATTTTTAACATAATAAAAAAAGTAATTTATTAAAATACTAAATTCAAATAGATTTTGAATTGCAATTATTTTTAAAAATAAATAAATTTTTTGTGTAAAATCATTTTTTTAAAATTAATTAAAATTTGAAACAATTGAATTTTTTTTTTTTCATTTTTGAAAAATTAATTATTTCGAACAATTTTTTAAACATAAAAGAACCAGGAGCTATTATCACTCATAATAGCAATCAAAAAAAGCACACACTAAAGGGATCGCTCTTCCCAAAAAATTTAGACTCTAGATCCTGCACTGTATAAGTTAATAATTGAAGATTAATTAAATTTTTGAAAAATTAAATATTAAAAAATTAATTATTTTGAATAATTAATATTATTGAATAGTAATTTACGAAAACGACCAATGTAATAAAATTTAGAACGATATTTTTTATTGATTCAGGAAAATTGAATTTTTTAATTAAAATTAATAATCGTTGAAAATTGAAAATAATACAACTTTTATTGACAATTCGATATTTCAGTTTTTTTAGATTTTAAAAATGCATAAAATTTTCAATAATAATAATAAATCAAAATACAATAAATATTATCAATTATAATTATAAATAAAAAAAAAAAATAATAATAATAATAAGATATACGAATAAAATTTGTTTTTAAGTTATTTTGAGATTTTTATTTAACAAAATAAAATGAAATAATATAAATGATTTAATTAAGAAGAAAATTTTAATTAATAATTAGAATTTACCAATCTACAGTTTTTTTTCCACTGAAAACGGTAACCTCTCGCCTGATACCAGATATTTTTCCACGATTTTTCAAACACAATAATTCTTGTCACAATTTAACGTTTTTTAAAAACACCCGCACTACCGCATAACATAACATCGGAAATGTCAAAACATCACGAAAAATATAAACAAACAAAAAAATCATGATAATAATTCGCAAATGATAACTAACAACTAACTTCATACTGCGAACGGACAGAATGAAAAACCACAGACTTTAATAAAGTTAATAATTTTATAATGAGTCTTATTATTCATGAAAATAATTGAATTTTTGTAAAAAAATGTTATAAAAAAAAATCCGAAAAAGTAATTTTCCAATTTTAATTTTTATATAACAAATGTTTTAAAAATTATTAAATAAAACAGTGGTTCAAATATTTCAAAGTAGGATAATATAAATGTTGATTTTACAAAAATTAGCCATTGTTGCATGAAAAAATTTAAAAAAAAAATTTTTTTTTTTAATTTTTGTAAAAAAAATTTTAGAAATTGTTTATTAAAAATCGACTTCGAAATCGACTTATTAAATTTCGTTAGAAATTGAAGCACTTAAGTTTTCGTCTAAACTCGTGTATATGGTCCTACTATGTGTCCGACATATTGGATCCACCATTTTGAATTTTAAAAAACCAACACTGGATTCGTAATCAGTTACTGTTTATTTTTTTTTTTAAATTTTCATATTTTTGCTTAGATATGAAAGTAATAAAAAAATTATAATTATAAAAAAATTATAAAAATTATAAAAAAAAATTATAATTCTAAAAAAAAGTATAATTGTTTGAAAATAAAGGTGATTAGGTTGAATAATTAATAAGAACATAAATTGGTTACACATCAACACATATATTTTGTTTTTTTTTTTTGCTTGTTGCATACATACGATAAAGAGTACAGTGTAACGCGTTTCTCGAAATATGGTACACTAGAAAATTTTTATTATCCACTACTGCAATTGCTATTAAACGTACGCTTTTTTTTTGTGATCATACAATAAATATAGAAAACAATTTTTAATCATTTTAAATAAATAATGTTTATTTAGGAAGACGTACCTACTTTGTACGTAACAAAGTATGCGCGAAAAATAGTAAAATTATCCTTCACATCCAAATTATAATATTATATGTATTTCAAAAAACAAATTTTCATTATTATGTAGCATTTTTCAAAAATTTACCAAAAAAAGCAAAAAAATGTTCATTCTTTAATATCTGGAGGTGATGAATAATTTTTAATATTTAATATCATATTTGTTTTGAAACTTGACGAATGATGACAAAATTTGAATTTTTGTTCAAAAATTATAATGGTCTGATTTCTGATAATCAGAAATCTTTTCGTTTTTTTTTTTTAAATATTTATATATATATATACGAATAATCTGAGCTTTTTTTTGTAGTAACAAATATCGGACGAAAGTACCTTATATCATTTTTTGAGGAGCGTTTTTCATTTATCGATAACAAGCGTTCACTTTAATCACTTTCGGAAAAAAAAAGCTTTTCAAAAAGATGTTACATACTTGACTTCTTCTTTTTTTGGGGGTGGGGGAGGGGGGAGAATTTTTCTATAAAACGTCCACGAACATAGAAAAAATACAATTATTTCGTTTCTATTCCTTTTAAGGAAAGAGAAGCGTACTTATTTTATTTACTTCTTTTTTTTTTTTTTGTTTCTTAAAAAGTTGTATTGGCATCAAAGGGTAGGAAATATACGCTTATACATATACAATAAGTTTGTCCTGTTCCTTTGTACAAATATATACAAGAATAAGTATGTGTCCAGGACTTTGATTGAATATGAGAAAAGTTCGAATTAATTATTTTAGCGTTGTACGACCTACGACTATGAATTAGTGAGCATTATCAGAACCGTCTGTTATTTAAGATACTGAATGAAGAGTTCAATTTAGAAAACTTTACGTAATGTGATTTTAATTTAATTTAATTAAATTCAAAAGTGAAAATTTAATCTATCGCCTTGTGTTTGAAGAAATTGCTTCCATAATTCAAAAAACATTATATTAATGAGAAACGTTGATTGATTTATTTATTTATTTTTGCAAAAATGGGTGAAGTTTCTAACATAACCTAGAAATACATTACAGAACTCATTGCGCAGACTCGAGGTATTCGATTATTATCGAATACCTCGAGTCTGCGCAATGAGTTCTGTAATGTATTTCTAGGTTATGTTAGAAACTTCACCCATTTTTGCAAAATAAAAAATAAAATTAATTAACGTTTCTCATTAATATAATGCTTTTGAAAGTTTGCTACAAATTTTACAGTTTAACAAATAAAATAAGAATAAATATGGTGGTTGGATGTTTTAGTACAGGAGTAAAATTTATAAAGAGCAGCTGAAGAAAGGCGAAGTTTCTCTTGTAACCAAAATTTAACAGCGGTTCTGCCAGAGCTCCAAACAAGATTCGCTTGCTCACGAGACATAGTACATTACATCGAATACTTGTTTTTTTTTTTTTTTTAAAAGAAAATAATTTCTCGACAAACAATTACAATTCGTCCTATAGAAAAAGTAATGAAAATAAACGTTGTCCTCAATTTTCCGATTTCTGATAATCAGAAATCAATTCGTTTTTTAAATGCGTTTTAATATTTTTTTTCTATATAAAACGTCCACGAACATAGAAAAAAATACAATTATTTCGTTTCTATTCCCTTTGAGGAAGAAAAGTGTACTTTTTTTTTAAATAAAAAAGTTGTATTGACATCAAAGGGCAGGAACCACGAGGTGCATGAATATTCCTCAAAACTTGTTTGACATGAAAGATATTTGATAAGTTTTAAGTTTGAAATAACACAATATTCTTTTGACATAAACTTTATTTCACATATTTGACGCGCCCACAAGAAGCAAAAGAATTTTAGGTTATGTTTATCTTACTTTTATCTTGCGATTAAAAGTTCCTTTTTAATTATCAAAATTTGAAACAATTTTTTATTGAATATTTTGGATTATAATGAATACATGAACCAGTAATTTGTAATAGTAATTGATTCTCTTTCTGTATTTTTACTCCAAAAATTATAAACATAACCTTAAATTTTTTCCTACGTACTTTCCTTGAGAGCGCGTCACATATTTATTTAATTTAAAATTCTCGTTTCTATTCGCTTTGGCTTTGAGTAGAGATGCAAAATTCTCGGTAATATAAAGTCAGGTTAAATTTTCAAGGATATGCCCGAGAATATTCTCCTTTTGAAGAAATATGAGAGGATTTTTTTCTAAACGCATTTTTCGATTTTCAAATAAAAATTGGTATAAATATAAAATTAGAAATATAAATTAGTTAAACATTTCATAACGTTTAATTTTGCAATTATAAATTAGTATATAAAACTTAAAACAATTTCAGGCCTCGGATCGACTTAAAGGCGCAAAAAAAGTCGGATTAGTCGATTAAAAATATGTACTAAAAAAGTCGAAAAAGTAGTTTTATTTAATGCAGTGTTGTCACAAAAATTTATTTTTTTATTTCCCTGATTTTCCCCTTTCGTTGATTTCTAAATTCAATTATTCGAAACTTGAATAATTTTATTAAATATATATATTTAAATACTTATTTGTTTTTCTACATTAAATTAAATTTTTAAAAATTCAATTTAGAGCCTTTTGAATACGTTCTAAAAATTACAACTATAGTCCTTCCAAATTTCAATTATCTTCTGCGATTTTTAAGTATATTTCATCTCTAAATCAATTATTTTAATACGAAAATTCAATTTTTTTATAATAATTGTTTATTTTTATTTTAAAAAGTTATTAAGGTTTAATATTTTCAAAGAATTGTAATAAATAAATTCTTAAAATTAATTTTTTAAAAATATTTTTAAATAATTTTTTTAAGGTAATAGTGTTTTAATTAAATGAACAATTGAAAAATTTCCAAATAATTGAAATGTGATAGAATCTAATAGTAATAATTGAAATTTGATAGAATCTAATAATAATAATTGAAATTTGATAAAATCTATTAAAAATAATATGAAATTTGATATAAATGTTTTTAAAAATAAAAGAATTCTTGAAAAATATAAAAAAAAAAAATAATAAAATTTTTAAAGAATTTTAATTATAAAATAATATAACATGTTTTTTTCCAAAATTTTATTAAGTCTAAAAAATTGATTTTCTTTAGAATTTTAATTTATTTTGTTTGATGATAAAATTGATTTTAAAAATATTGTACTGTAATTTTTTTTCAAGTATTTGTTATTTTTTAAAAGAATTTCTGTAAGTTATCTATTAGAAAACTCATAAATTTTTTCGAAGAATTTTAATTACAAATTTTGAACATATAATTGAGTTCTCCAAAATGTTAAAAATAATTCTAAAAAATTGTAATGCTATTATTTTTTGTGTGTATTTGAATTTTTTTTTAAAAAATGTAAGTGAAAATATTAAAATATTTAAAATTTGAGAAAATTAGAATGGAAAAATTCTAAGAATTCTTTTTTTTCTAAAATATTTTAATTTTAATTTTTAAAAGCAAATTTTCATTAATTTTCATTTTCATAAATTTACACTTGAAGATTTTTCATTAAAATTTTTGAGAATTCAATTATTTTCACAAAATTTGCAATTAAATTTCTTCAAAAGTTGATTTTCAAAAATTGTAATAATAATATTTGGAAAAAATTAATTATTTTCAATTAAATTTTACAAAATGTCCATTATTCTAAAAATTTTTTAATTATACATATATTTTTAAAATTTAATTATTGTAAAAAATTATTCAAAAATATAATTTTGAAAAATTTGTCTATAGTTATTTTTCACACTATTTGCGGAAAAAAGTCGAAAAAGTCGCAATTTTGGAAAATAAGTTGCATTTTTTTTAAATAGTTGAAAAAAGTCGAAATAGTCGCAGTTTTTGAAAATAAGTCGAAAAAAGTCGAAAAGTGATAATATCCGAGGCCTGTATACAAGCACACAAATTCTCATAAATTCTACCGGAGAATTTCGTTCGGTTATAGTCTCATACTCTGGGTAATATTTTACCTCTTTGCATCTCTATTTGTGACAAATGTGATTGTCAAATTTATTTTGAACAATGTGCATGCGCCCCCGGAAACCACCAACATTGACATAAAAAATGACGTACGCCTTTTAAAATCTTTAAAATTTCCCCGAAGTATAGATATTCTTCATTACTTTTTATCCTTCATTTTTTTCTTTTCATTTCGTCGTTTGACTATCGAACCAAATTTTAAAAAGTACAATTTGCAAAAAAAATCACTACCTGAGACTATTGCGTGTATTTTTTTTTCTTTCTTAAAATCGTTGAATTCGCAATGCCTCCATTTTTTTTTTTTTTTTTTGCAAATATACGCTTATACATATACAATAAGTTTGTCCTGTTCCTTTTTACAAATATATACACAATATTGTCCAGAACTTTGAAAAGTTTCTGGACGCCAGTGAAATACGTTTAGTTTCTATTTCTCAGACATAGCGAGTGTGCGGTTCCTATTAGATGAAAGAAAGGGTCTCATTCACCCCTTTTTTTCAATCTAAGAAATAAAAAACCAAAAAAGCCCTTTTTTCAGACTAGCGTTTAAATAAAAGGCAACTTGTTTCATATAGAAACATTCATTCCCGAAAATTCTAGTGACATTCTTAGTGAAATAGAAATACACTATTGGACACAATTTGTGCAATATCTACGAATAATAATTTAAAAAAAGCATGAAATGACGATTTTCTTTTTTGTACATTGAAAGATGTTTTACTGTTCAATCATACGATTTTATTTTTTTATTTTAATCTATAATAAAGTATTTACACATATACAGCATTTACATAAAAACCCTAGCGCTGGGTTGTTGTTTTCTTTTTTTTTTTTGTCGTGCTTATTTTTATTATACAAGAAAAAAAGAGGTCTGAGAAACGATTCTATCGTCTCAAAGAAAAACCGAAATTAATGAATTAATCCGGTGGCTAAAAATATGGTACAAAAAGGGGACTTTTTACAAATAACGCTCCAATTTAGGAGCTTGAGATACAAATACAATAAAGAAAAGGCGATCAAGCCTAAGTACGAGTTCAAAAAAGATGTAAATTCTCGTTTTTTTTCAAAGATGAAAATATCAACTCATCCGAGAGCTCCTCATTTCTCCTCCCTTATCACATTTATATACAGAGCCGAAATCATTCATACGCGAATGCCAAAGACTGCTGCTCAAAAACCAACCCAATTTGCATCTCTTTGCGCGGTAACTTGGATCGAGAAGTGTCGATACAAAATTTTCCCCATCGACTTTGAAATATAACATCACAGTTAAATCACGTCCACACGTCTTCGGCTCTTGTCGACGACTTTGGTCCTTCGAACCAAATTGTTGTATGTCTTCCACCATTACCAAAAAGAAATTTTTTTTTTTCGACAAACCTTCACGGTTTCATCAAAAAAGAAATGTACCCAATTTATTGAGTAGTACAATTTGTAAGCCTCAAATTTCATTTTCATTCAAGATTTTTTAAGTTTCTCGTTCCTTTTTTACTTTGAGACCAGTGTTTGTTGTGTCCTCGCCCAAAATTGTCGCAATTTCTCCCTGCATGAAAGCCCATGGTACTTGACTGTTTGCCAATGGACACTTTTCACCACTCGGACAATAGACCTAAAAAAAGAAAATTCTTTTAAAATATGCATCACAAAAACATTTTTAATTGCTAATTAATTTCTTCCCTGCTCAAAGCATTATTCGCAAACGGATATTCTTCATGTACTAATAATTTTATCAGGCTTCGTACTCGATAACTAATTTTAAGAAAAAAAAATTAATTAATTTTTATAAATTTAATTAATAATCAAACTAAAAAAAAGTTTCTATTGAAAAATTAAACTTGACGATCAAAAAAACTCGTTTTAGACACTTCATAAATCTGACAAAAATTCCATTCCATATTTTATTTTCCCGCGACTTTCTCCTAATTTTCATTAAAAATATTTACTTCTTTCTTATCCTGATAATAAATTGAATTCCTGCAACGAATTTTATTATTCATCAAAGAATTTAATACTTTCGACTAATTTTATGCAAATTCTAATTTAAATAATTGAATTCCGGAGAAATTTTTATTATTCATGAAAATAATTGAATTCTTTCGAAGATTTTTAGAAATTTTTTTTAAATACTTGAATTCTGTTTGGAAATTTTATGAAATTAGTAGATATTGAAAATCATTAAATTGCGAAAAGTTTTTAAAAATAATTAAATTTTACAAAGAATTCTATTAAAATTTTTGACAATAATTGAATGTCTGTGTGGCATTTTATTAATTTCTTTTGAAAATAATTGAATTCTTGCGAACGATTTTATTAGAATTTTTAAAAATAATTTAAAAATAATTGAATTCTTGTGATGAATATTGTTATTTATGAAAATAATTGAATTTTCCAAGGAATTTTATTAAAATGCCCCAAAATAATTGAATTTTCAGGAATAATTTTGTTAATTATCGACATAATTGAATTCTTTCGAAGAATTATTTATGTAAATAAATTAATTCTTGGGAAGAATTTAATTAAAATCTAAAAGAATAATTTAATTATTTCAAAAAATTGAATTAAAATTGTACTTAAAATAATTGATTTTTTCGAGAAATTGAAATTAAATTTTTAAGAATAATTATCTTTTTCGAGTACTTCCTGTAAAATTGTATTAAAAATAATTAAAATCCTACGATGTATTTCATTATTTATGAAAATAATTGAATAGTTGCTAAGAATTTTATTAAAATTTTCAAACATAATTGAATTCCTGAGAAGAATTTTATTATTTATGAAAATAATTGAATTGTTGCGAAAAATTTTATTAAAATGTTTAAAAAAAAATGAAGTTCTGTGGAAAATTTTGTTATTTTTTAATATAATTGAATTTTTCCGAAGAAGTTTATAACTTATGAAAATAATTGAATTGTTCGAAAAATTTCATTAAAATTTTTGAAAACTTGAATTTCTGCGAATAATTTTATTACTTTTGAAAATAATTGAATTCTTGTGATGAATATTGTTATTTATAAAAATAATTGAAGTGTTCGAAAAATTCTATTAAAATTTTTTGGAAATAATATTCTTTCAAGAAATTTAATTAAAAATGTATTGAAAATAATTATTAAATTCTAATAAAAAAATTACATCAATTTTTTTTTTTGAATAATTGAACTCTTTTGAAGATTTTTATTAACATTTTTAAGAATAATTGCATTTTTCTAGGAATTTTTTTAAAATTGTATTAAAAATAATTGAAATTCTGCTATGAATTTTATTATTTAAGAAAATAATTGAATAGTTGCTAAGAATTATATTAAAATTTTCAAAAATAATTGAATTCCTAAGAAAAATTTTATTATTTATGAAAGTAATTAAATGTTTACAAAGAATATTATAAAAATTTCTTTTTAATTGAATTCTTTTGGGAAATTTTTTATTGGAAATAATTGAATTTCGAAAAATTTGTGAAAATAATTGAATCGTTTAAAGAAGAATTATTAAAATTTTTTGAATTGTTTCAAAGAATACTCATCGCTTTTCAAATTTAGAGAGTGTCAAAATTAAAAAAAAAGTTTTAAGAAATTTTTGATTTTTAGTCTTGATATTTTAGAAATATTTATAAATGTTTTCATTTTATTTTAAAATTAAACATTACTTCATTATCGTGCAATGTTTCGTTCTTATTTATTTCAAACCACTAAGCTTATCTTTGACAAGTTTGTATTGTCTTATCTTGTCGTTAACAAGTTTAATTTTACTATGAATATTTAATTTTGTATGGAAAGAAATATACAATGTCGCAATTGTAAAAAAGATTCAATCCATTGACATAATCTCACACTAAAGTGTCATTTTTAATAGACAACAGAGATGACAGTACCTTTCTTCTTCGAAATATTTAAAATTTGTGAAAATTCTTAATTTAAATTCGACAAGTGTAACGACAAAAATAAAAAAATTCAAATTTATTCGCTTAAAAATTAGCTCTACTTTAAAACAGACTATGTTAATTAAATCAAAGTATTTTTCTTCAAAAGAATTTAGTTCCGAAATTATGTAGATAGTTCAATTTTTCCAGACTTGAATTTATAATAAGGAATTAATATCTCAAAACGAACACGGAAAAAATATAGAATATCTTTTATAATTTACAAGCTGGGGTAAGTGCATCAATTACTGCGTGTGCGTCATTTTTTCAACTTTTTTTCTCAATTTTATACTTGAAAAAAATTTATTTTAATTTCCAGAAAATATTCCTTTATGCAAGTCTAACATTTGACAATTAACAAGTGAGCAGTATTTTTCTAGCATATTTTTCTCAATAAATTTTAAGTTTAATTCTTTTAACATAAATCCTTTTTTTCTACATTTAATTTTTTTTCAAGATATCTTGCTTGCAATACCGCAGTAATTGTCACACTAACCCCAAATTCTAAACTATCGGGAATTTCTGCACATTTCTGCTTTTTTACTACTTTTTTTATTTCCGGAATAAATTTTGTAAACTTTCGAAGCACATTTTACTAATATTTACTACAATTGACTTAATTTTTTCATAAAAAATATTCTCGATCATGAATTATTTTTCCCGATATTAAGAAAAACTGAAAAATTATTTTCAAGATTTCAATTCAATTAGTCTCTAGAAATTTTAACAGAATATTCTTCTCTAATTAAATTATTTTTAATATTTTTTCAGAAAGTTACTTAAAAATCCAATTATTTAAAAAATAATTCACCCAAGATTAAAATATTTCTAAAATCCACTTGTTTACAAGACAATTTCATGAAATTTCGAATAATTTGAAAATTTTTCAATTCAACGTAAGTATATATTATAAAATACAACTAATTTAAAAAAAATGTGAATAAAAATTTTTTAAAACTTTAAAAAAATTCAGTTTATTAATTAAATTGCTAATTAATTATTCTTGTTGATTAATTTAAAAAATGTTAATGAAATTCTTCGTAAGAATTCAATTATTTTTATAAATAGTAAAATTTTTTTGTAAAAATTCAATTATTTTTAAACAAAATTTTAATAAAATTTCACGAACAAATAGAATTATTTTATAGAAATTTAATAAATCCTTCCAAACAATTTAATTATTTTTTTAAATAGTAAAATCTTTGGAAAAATTCAATTATATCTATTAATAATAAAATTTTTATCAAAATTCAATTATATTTAAAATAATTTCAAGAAAGAATTGAATTTAAAAAAAAAATGTTAACAATATTTTTCGAAAAAATTCAATTTTATTTATGAATAGTAAAATTCTTTGCAAAAATTCAATTATTTTTAATTATTTTAATGAAATTTCATTAAAGATTTCAATTTTTTTAATTTTAATAATATTTCTTTGTAAAAATTCAATTCTTTTCAAAAATTTTAATAAATCCTTAGAAACAATTCAATTATATTATTATAAATAGTAAAATTCTTTGAAAATATTCAATTATTTTCAAAAAAATTCGACGAAAGAATTTAATTTTTTTTAATTTATGTTATAAAATTTTTCAAAAGAATTGGATTACTTTCTAAAATTTTAATAAAATCCAATAATTAAATGTTTAATTTCAATTTTTAACAAACACGATTATTTTAAAAACTTGAAACAAATTGTTCGTAAAATTCAATTATTTTCAAAATTTGTAATTAAAATTATTAAAAAAAACTCCATTATTTAAAAAAAAAAGTTTAAAGAAATTCTTCAAAAAGAATTCAATTAGAATTTTCAAAAATTTTAACAAAATTCTTCGCGAGAATTCAATTATTTTCCTAAATAATAAAAGTTTTCAAAGGAATTTTATTCTTGCTAAATAATATCAATAAAGTGACCATTATTGCCCTAGGGTAATAATGGTTACTTTATTGACCTGCAAGCGATCAGTAAAGTGACCATTATTGCTCTAGGGCAATAATTTAATCAGTAAAGTGATTAAATTAATCAGTAAAGTTACTATTATTGCCCTAGGGCAATAATGGTCACTTTATTGACCGTTGGTCTATAAGGGGAAGGATTAAAGTCTTATAATTCTATGAGTAGAATAAAATGAGAATGTTACCTCAGATCCAGCACCCTGCCTCTTTATGCTGTCTCTACTGCAGGGGAAGCAAAATTTGTGGTGTGGAACACTCGGACATTGCACAAAGTGCGTGTCCTCGAGACGTTCCTGACACAATGTGCATTTTAAAGTTGGCGCCGAGACTGGTTCAGTTCCGGCCGATTGAGCCACTGCTCCTTCCGAGGACGTTGTCACTGTTGTCGATGACACATGTCGAGAACCACTTGACCTTCTACCAGATGAACCTGCAAGAACAAAAAGAAATAATGTCTTAACTCATCTAATGAGGTTTTTTAAAAAATTATCACTATTTCATAAGTATTTTATATTTTGTGAATTTTTCAAAACAAAAACTATTTTTCACAAAAACTTAATTAAACTAATTTATTCTTTGACCTTTTTGGACAGTTTGGAAATCTAAAATCTAACACTACTTTTTTACTTTTGTGTTTTCGAATTTTCGAAAAATACTTTCTGCTATTAGCTACTTTTTGTTATATTACTTCTTCGTTTGATAAATCTCTATATTGGGACATTTACCTTTTGCAAAATAGTTTTTTCGAAACAAGTTTAAAAAATTAAAAGATTAAAAACACACGTATCGTAAAAATGATAAAATTTCATTAAATTATCGAAAAAAAATGATATCGTGTAAATAACACCTTAATCAACTGTTAAATTCAATTCAAATTTATTCCAAACTATTGCTGTATATATACATTGAGCAATCGACATTAATATTGATAGGAAATTAATGTAACTTTTAAAACTTCACTTCTTTGTCAATTGTCGTTAAAATTAAGTAGTTACTTAATTGAAATATAATTTAAAAGTTAAATTTTTCTCAACTTTAAATGTATCATATGTTTATAATTAAAATTTTTTTAAAATATCAGGTGCGAGTCCAAGAGAAATTTCACATTTTTTTTGAGCTCCTTCACAGATTGAAATTTAATTCTCATAAAGAATTTTATCAACTAATTTTTAAATAATTGAATCTTTCAACGAATTATTTAATAAAATTTTTAAGAATAATTACATTTTTCGAGGACTTCGATTAAAATTGTATACTAAAAATAATTGAAATTCTACGATGAGTTTTATTATTTATGAAAATAATTGAATCTCTGTAAAAAATAAATAATTCAATATTATTCTCAAAAATTTTTATAAAATTCTTGGGAAAACTTCAACTATTTTCAAAAATTTTCCTCAATTCAAAGATTTTCAATATCTAGGTACTATTTTATAAAATTTTCAAAAAGAATCCAATTATTTGAAAAAAAAAATTTGATAAAATTCTACGCAAACATTTAATTATTTTCATAAAATAATAAAAATTTCACAAGATTTCAATTATTTACAAATTTTTTATAAATTTCTTTGCACTAATTCAATTATTTTCATTAATAATACAATTTTTTACAGACATTCAATTATTTTCAAAAATAATAAAATTCTTCTCAAAAATTCAATTACTTTAAAAAAAATTTTTCTTAATTCAATAATTACTCTAAAATAGTAGAAAGTAGATATTGAAAATCATTGAACTGAGAAAAATTATTGAAAATAATTGAACTTTTGCCAAGAATTTTATAAAAAATGTTTAAAATAATTGAATTTTGGAGAACAATTTTTTTATTTATTAAAATAATTGACATTTTTACAAGAATTTAAAAAAAAATTTTAATTGTTGAATTTCTGAGAAGAATTTTGTCACTTCTGAAAATAATTGAATTCCTGAGAAGAATTTTATTACATTTCGAAAACAATTGAATCTCTTTAAAAAATTTATTATTCATGAAAATAATTGAATTAGTGCGAAGAAATTTATAAAAAATTTGTAAAGAATTGAATTCTTGTGAAATTTTTATTAATTAAGAAAATAATTAAATGCTTGCGTAGAATTTTATCAACATTTTTTGTTAATAATTGAATTTTTTTGTAAAATTTAATAAAATAGTAGATATTGAAAATCATTGAATTGAGGAAAATTTTTGAAAATACTTAAAATTTTGTCAATAATTTTATAAAAATTTTTGAGAATAATTGAATTTCAGAGAAGAATTTGATTATTTGTAAAGATAATTGAAATTTTGACTAGAAATTTAAAAAATCTTTTAATATAATTGAATTTTTGCGAATAATTTTATTACTTTTGAATATTGAATTTCTGCAATTATTATAGTAACTTTTCCAAAATTAAATTTTTTTTAGCGTTTTTAACTAAAATTTATTTACAAATTTCTTCAAAAGTCAAATTATTCGAAAACATCAATAAATTCATTTTTAAATAAATATTTAATCGATAGGAATCCTACAAATTCTCCAAAACATTCAAATTTAAATATTTTTGAAATCCAACAACTTACAAGAATGTTTTATAATAATTCAAAATTATTTTCATTTCACTTCGATTATTTTCTAGAATTTTTAATTATTTTTAATAATTTTTTGAAAAAGTTCTTTGAGAATTTTCAAATCTATTTGTTAACAATTCAATTTTACGAAATATCGATTATTTGGAAATTTTTCAATTAAATATTAGAAAATAAAAACTTCAAATAATTTCAAAAACATTAAATTAAAATTAAAAAAAATTAATTCTACCAAATTCTTAATTAAAAAGTATAAAAAGTTAAAATTTTCAAAGATTTTAATTTGAAACCTTTTCAAAATTCAATTATTTTCTAACAATTAACGCTTTAATTTGTTATCTAAAAATTTTAACTGAAATTCATTTTTAAATTAATCTTTATTAGAATATTTCTTAAAATTGCATTCTAATGAGGAAATTTATCAACATTTTTTTAAAATTGTAATATTGAATTCTTGCGACGAATTTTAATAAAAATTTTTTTTAAAATTGAACTCTAATAAAGAATTTCATCCACATTTTTTTCAAATAATTCAATTCTTTCGACGAATTTTAATAAAAATTTGATTTTTAATAAAAATAACATTTTTCAAGAACTATGATTAAAACTGAATTAAAAATAATTGAAATTCTGCGATGAGTTTTATTATTTATAAAAATAATTGAATTCTTAAAAAGAACTTTATTATTTATGAAAATAATTGAATTCTTGAACAAAATTTTATTATTTATGGAAATAATTGAATTATTGTGAAGAAATTCATAAAAAATTTATAAATAATTGAATTTCTGGGAAATTTTTATTATTTATAAAAATAATTAAATTTTTGCGCAGAACTTTATCAAATTTTTTTTTAAATAATTAAATTTTTGGAAAATTTTATTAAAATAGATATTAAAAATCGTTAAATTGAAGAACATTTTTTAAAATAATTGAAATTTTGTCAAGAATTTAAAAAATTTTTTGAATATAATTGAATTGCCGAGAAGAATTTTATTACTTTTGAGAATAATTGAATTTCAGCAATAATTTGTAATTTCTCTAAAATTCAATTCTTTTTATAGTGTTTTTAATTAAAATTCTTCTATAAACTCATTATTTATAATATTAAATACATATTCAAAAATGTAACTAGTTTCAGAAGAATTTGAGTTATTAAAATTGTTCGAAAAACTAAGTTCTTAAAATTTCTAATTAAATTTATTAAAAATTGAAATTTTCTAAAATTCTATATTGAAACCTTCTGCTATGAAAATTGAAAAAGCAACTCATTTAAAATTGAATTAATTTTGAAATATTGAAGTAAAATTATTCATTAAATAATTTATAAGTAATAATTTTATGTTAGTTGTTCAAGAATTAAGTTATTTAAAAATAAATTATTGGCAGAAATATAAAAAATTGAATTTCGCCGTTTTTTGAGTCAAACAAAAAAGACCCAAAAATTCAGAAATTTCTTACGAATTCTAAAAATTCATATTAATGATAATGTTATAATCTATTAAAAAGTAAAAAACTATTTACCGGAACCATTGGGGCTGTGTTGGGATCCTCTAGAAGCACTGCGTTGTTGTTGTTGTTGTTGTTGCTGCTGCTGTTGTTGTTGAACATTGGTGGCAGTTGTTGGTGGGCTTCTGCTAGTGGGACTTGTGTTATTTGGTGGTTGCGGTACTGATTCTGGAGACGTGAGATTATCTGCGACTGACATCAGCGCGGCCATTGGGGACTGACCACTTGTAGCTCCCTAAAATATTTCATTCTTAGTTTAATATTCTTTTCTTTTTCCTACTTTTTCTCTTTCCTATTCTTATTTTTCCTAGTATTCAAATTCTTCTTGATTATAACTGTCAAAAACTTCTGCGCATTTCTGGTAACTTTTACTATACTTTCGGAGTAAATTTTGCTACGTTCGAAGTCAATTTTACTAATTTTTTACAAATTTTACAATTTTGAACGTAGTTCAAAGAACATATTTGTAAAAAATTAGTAAAATTTAGTTTGAATTACGTTCAAAATTGTAAAATTTGTAAAAAATTAGTAAAATTGACTTCGAACGTAGCAAAATTTACTCCGAAAGTATAGTAAAAGTTACCAGAAATGCGCAGAGGTTAGCGTCAACTAAGTTCCCTGAAGCTAATATGAGATGAATTTTTAGTGAATTGTTTTAAAAAGAAATGAATATACTATACTATTCATTTAATTCTAGTTTTAAATTTGTGAACCAATGTTCTTAAACACTATTTTTATAATAATTGGATCATTTTTAAATGCAGAATGAAGTGAATTTAGTTAAGTACCAAAAAATATATTTAAAAATTTCAAGAAAAGATGAAGTTACAACATTTTTTCGACGAAATTCAATGGATTAATTTAAAGTGTTAATAAATTTATGAAGCTCTAGTCTTAATACTCCGAGATTCAAACAAAAGTTAAAAATTTTAAATTGCCATTATATTGACTATAGAAAGGAATTTTCCTTAGTTGACAAAAACTAGAATTTATATGACCATAATAAATTTGAATAAATGAATCATCCTGACGAATAAAAATTATTTTAATATGAATACGTACTAACCTGATGATGATTAGGTTGCTGTGTTTCCCCTGCACTTTCCTGAGGAGGTGGTGGCGGTGGTGGTGGAGGAGGACTCGTTCTGGGTCGAAGAGGAGATCCTCCTCCGTTTGTTGCCACATTTGCAGGTGCGAGAGGAATCGATGGTCCAACATATCCACCTGAAAGAATAATTTCAATTAACTATTTTTCACATTAGGTATGACATCTAATTTAAATAGACGAAAAAGAATGTAAAATATACGGATTTGCCCAATGTTTATTGGAAAAAAGTCATTTTCAAATGTCGCTGTCGTCGCTAATATTTAAAAACTTAATCATCATTCTCAGTACACTTTTTTTTCTATATTCATGACACAACATTCTCCTGGCCATTTGAATATTAAATACGCATTTTATGACTTGGCGATACATCACGCATTTTGATAAATTGTTTATACATGTAGCCGACATTTCTGACGCTGGCTGTAATGAAATTTTCCAGTTAACACCCAAAGCACGTGATTCTCTGTTTGGTAAATTAAATCTGTTGACCTTCGATCATTATTTCATTATATTTATAGGTGTTAACAGGCTAAGTAAATAAATTATATAGTCCTCGTTAAAAACGTCATCTATAATTGACGACGACTTTTATTTTCAGGTGAAAGTCAATGGTTGTTCCAGATTTATAAATTTATATCTTTAAATTGAAAGGTCACGTAGTTAATCAGCGCGAGCTTTTAATAATTCATTTAATTATCCATTCAATTTTTAATCGGGCTTTTGTATTATTTTCTAGAGATAATTTTTTACTGCTTCGTTATAAGAGCAGTTAGGCCTTAAAATTATACAAACGAACGAGCCAAAATAAGTGATGTTATGAGTTCATACGTACTATTAAGGAAAATGCAGACTTCGCACTCGATAATTAATTTTTAAAAAATTAGCAAAAAGTAGCTTTTAAACTAAAAAAAGTAGTAAAAAAGTAGCTATCGAAAAATTAAACTTGACGACCAAAAAAAAACTCGCCTTAGACACTTCACAAAACTGACAAAAATTCCATTCCATATTTTTTATTTTTCTGACTTTTTCCTAATTTTCATCAAAAATATTTACTTCTATCTTATCCTACAGCTAATAAATTGAATTCCTGCAAAGAATATTATTATTCATCAAAGAATTTAAATATTTATAAAAATAATTTAATTCTTGCCAGAGAATTTTATGAAATTTTTTAAACAATTGATTTCTTTCGACTATTATTTTATGCAAATTCTAGTTTAAATAATTGAATTCTTGCGAGCGATTTTATTAGAATTTTTTAAAATAGTTTAAAAATAATTGACAATTGAATTCTTGTGATGAATATTGTTATTTATGAAAATAATTGAATTTTGCAAAGAATTTTATTAAAATGACTCAAAATAATTGAATTTTTGGGAATAGTCTTGTTATTTATCTTTAATAATTGAAGTCTTTCAAAGAATTATTTATGTAAATAATTGAATTCTTGGGAAGAATTTTTATACAAAAAATTTGTATTAAAATCTAAAAGAATAATTGAATTATTTTAAAAATCTAATATTTTCCTAAATAAATTTAATTCTTCCAAAGAATTAAAAAAAACACACTTTTTTAAACAATTGATTTTTCCGAGGAATTGAAATTAAATTTTTAAGAATAATTACATTTTTCGAGAATTTTTTTTTTTTTGTAAAATTGTATTCAAAATCATCAATTTTATTATTTATGAAAATAATTGAATAGTTACAAAGAATTTTATTAAAATTTTCAAAAATAATTGAATTCCTGAAAAGAATTTTATTATTTATGAAAATAATTGAATTCTTGCGAACGATTTTATTAAAATATTTTAAAAGAATTGGATTTCTGTGAAAAATTTTGTTATTATTGAAAATAATTGAATTCTTCATGAAGAATTTTATAAACATTGTTTATAAACAACTTTATTAAAATATTTGAAAATAATTAAATTCCTGTGCAAAATTCTAATATTTTCGTAAATAATTGAATTCTTACAAAGAATTAAAAAAAACTTTTTTTTTAATAATTTTTTCGAGGAATTGCAATTAAATTTTTAAGAATTATTACATTTTTTTGAGCAATCCCTGTTAAATTTTTATTAAAAATAATTGAAATCTAGCAATGAATCTTATTATTTATAAAAGAATTTAAATATTTATAAAAATAATGAAATTCTTATGAAGAGTTTTATAAAATTTTTTAAATAATTGATTTTTCTCGGCATATTTTTATGCAAATTCTAATTAAATAATTGAATTTCTGAGAAATTTTTATTATTCATGAAAAAAAATTGAATTCTTACGAAGATTTTTACAAAAAATTTATTAAATAATTGAAAAAAAAAAAATTTTTTTTTTTATTCTATTTGGAAATTTTATGAAAATAGTAGATATTGAAAATCATTAAATTGCGAAATGTTTTTAAAAACTCAATTAAATTTTATAAAGAATTCTATTAAAAATTTTGACAATAATAGAAGGTCTGTGTGGTATTTTATTAAATTTTTTTTAAAAATAATTGAATTCTTGCGAACGATTTTATTAGAATTTTTAAAAATAATTGAATTTCAGAAGAAGAAATTTATTACTTTTAATAATAATTGAATTCCTATGATGAATATTGTTATTTATGCGGAAATAATTGAATTTTGCAAAGAATTTTATTAAAATGCCTCAAATTTAATAGTTGGTAAGAATTATATTAAAATTTTCAAAACATAATTGAATTCCTCAGGAAAATTTTACCTATTATTTATGAAAATAATTGAATTCTTGCGAACGATTTTATTAAAATATTTAAAAAGAATTGAATTCAGTTGGGAAATTTTATGAAAATACTAAGTATTGAAAATAATTGAATTTCGTATATTTTTTGAAAAGATTTGAATGGTTTTAAAGAATTAAATTTGATTATAATTTTTGAGAATAGCTTTTTCATTTCTACTAATAGCGAATTTAAAGTAGTGGAAATTTAAAAAAAACAGAAATATTAGCTTTTAGTGATTGAAATCTAAAAAAAGTTTTCAAATAGTAGCATAACGTAAAAAAGTAGTAAATCGTTGGTTTTAGTAGACGAGTGCGAAGCCTGCTTTTTATTTAAAAAAAAAAATTCATATATCCCGGTCAAGAAAAAATTTCCTTGTCACTTCCCGAATTTTTTCTTTAATGCAATTTATTTTTGGGCTTAAAATAAAAATAAGTCAAAATCAGTTTCCTAAGAAATTTCGTCAATATTTGAACTAGGTAATATAATAAGTTTTGTTTTAGTCAAAATTAGACTCTTAAAACAAGAGTTATTTTTTAGTGTCTATAAAATTAAAAATATCCATTAAAATTTTCATTTTTTTTAGAAAATGTAAAAGAATCCATTATTCAAGGTAAAGCGATCATAAACACAACCTTTTGCTTTTTTACGTCCCTTTCTTTGTGTCTTGTCTCATATATACGAAGTATATGAAGTCAGGGTACTCGTGGAATTAAAACGCTCGCTTGTTTACGTACGTAACTTGAATGCAATTATCATGACGCGGTGGCGGAGCAGAGTTGAAACTTGAACGTTGAGCTTGAATGTTGACGACGATTAAAGGGTGTGGGGATAGGGGCAAACGATGGTTTCTTAATGGCTCGTGTCTGTCGCAATGTTTGTCACCGTCTTCACACTCACTCACACACACACAAACGCCTAGAAATTATGCACTACCGGTCTTCGTAGTAGTAGTGGTAGTAGTAGTAGTAGTACTCAAATATATTCGAATGACGTAATCCTGGGAATTGGTACTTTACTTCTCCTCAAACACGTGGCTGTCTGGAATAACTGTTGTCTCTTTTAGCCGCTGACAGACATGACTATCATTCTCAATATCAGGTGACTTTATATGACGCATGTGTAAATTTTCACAAATATAAATAAACATTCATTTTAGTATAATAAATGAAGAAAACAAAAATCAAAATACTACATGTCCGCATAAATACTACACTGAAAAAAAATTATTTGATTTAAATTCAACGATTAATTGACTATTCAAAACTTAAATATTTAATTTAATTTAAATTTAATTTAATTTAATTTAAATTTAATTTAAATTTAATTTAATATTTAATTTAATATTTATTGGAGTTAAATGGTATTTAAAACAATAATTTCAGTATTTAAAGCAAATATGAACTAAACCATTCAATTGATTCCAATAAATATTATTTGATTCAAGTAAATGTTTAATTGATAATAGTCGATTAATCGGTTATCAAATAAATTTTTTTTTTCACTGTACATGTCCAATTTTCACATTCATGGCTTTATATTTTTCATTCATTATGAAATATTTTGTAACTGTTTTTATTTCACCACCGACAACAAAATTATGTAATATTTCTCCATCTATGTGAGATTTTTCATATATATACTTATCAATAATATACTATAAATAACGTAATTCTCTCGCTTTTATAAAAATACACAATTTTTATCTAATTTTCCTTTTTTTAATAATGATATTTTCACTTTTATAATATTTTACTTCCGTGTTTATAAATAAAAACAGAAAAATTACATCAGCCCATGCGTGTAATAAATTATCGGGATTTCCCCAAATTCCATTAGAAAGATATTTTTGTAAATTGTATAAATAATAAAATATAATTATACTCTAATTGGGAATGTATCGTTCCAAATTCAATTCGATAATTTAATTTTATGTAAATAAGGTGAATATATCGGAGAAGATAATCTACACTTTATATTATTATATCCATTAAAAGCATATTTTCTTTTTTGTTTCAAAAAAAACGTAAGCGCGTAGTTGACACGCTTTTGCTCATTTCAAATTCCCTGAGTTTTCCAGGTTTTCCAGGTTAAAAAACAAAATTTTTCCAGGTTTTTAATTTTATATATTTTTATACATATTATATATTTTACAAAATTAAATAATTAGTCATAAGAATTTAATTTAATGGAATTTTTCCAGAAGAATTAAGATTTTCAAAAATTTTAAATTCAAACCTTTTTGAAATTAAAAAACTTATAAAAAATTGTTATAAAACATGAAGAAATCGATCACTCCGAGTCGAAGACTCGGAGCAATCGATATCTTCATGTTTTATAATAATTCAAAATATCCAAGTGATAAAATAAT